TCTCAAGCACAAGTAATTTCAGTGTTTTATGACAGCAATAACACATGTCCCGGCCGTGACAGTGACCATGGTGAGAGAAGGTTTTCTGTTTTAGCTAAAAGTGGGTTTTCACATTTGGAGCGAAGCAGACAGTCAGATAAATTAATTTGAAGGCTTTTCCCCTGAATCAAAATTTATGTGGAAAATCCTGTTGAGGCTTCAGAGTGAAGTGTCACGATAGGCAACAGTGATCTGGTGCTTTGTTGTTTAGGGATGAAACAACATTGTTTAGGGATGAAAAGATAATCTATTGACACCTGATAAATATTTTATGGGGCTGCTCTGTGCTGTCTGACATTTCACATGGCCTCTTCATCTTTTGAATATGTTATACAAAAAAGATTTCAAGACACAGGGATGTTTTTACTATATAAAAACAAGCAGATACTGACTCACTGCAACCGGCTGCTGGCACAGCTTGCAAGAATATTATGATTTAGGAGACCTATTTTCATAACTTAAGAGCCTTTTCTAATAAAAGAGGTTGTTTCTGAGGACACTGTTAAGATTAAGTTTGATGACTTTTCTTTAAAGTCGATAAATTGACTAATTGCTGCAGCTCTACTGGCCTCATGGTATAGTTTCCCGCTCTGTTACCTCTTTCATTCTGGCACATTATTGTCCATTTACAGATTATAAAACAAGTTAATCATCTTGTCCAAATTATCCTTAACTCATTGTTTCAGTACTAAAGAGTATTCTCCTTCCTTGATGGACAGAATCTTGTTTTTAAATTATACTCTAGTTGGAAAAAGAGTGCAGACCCAGATACAAGAAGGATAGCATGTTTTTGCTGTATTGTATTTTGACAGCACAAATCTTAGTAATATTATAATGATGGTGAAATGGCAGTAGGATAGAAATAGTAGCGCCACAGCTGACCAGAGCCTTGGAAACATGATGACTTGCAAAAGTTCAAATATGGGACACAGTGAATCAGAGAGCAAAGCTATTTCTGTGTGACGCCAGGACCGATTTGTCACTTCACATGCAGCAGGAGATGACATTGATTTGATGTGCAACAGATTCACAAAAAGCAAAACACAACGGAGGTATGACTCAGAACCTGACAGAGAGCCTTCCCACTTCCTCTGTGCTAGGTTGAAGTAGGAAAAGTTGACGTGGAGGTTTTATTCCTGACTCCACCAAAAGCTCATAAAATCCATCCGCCAAACACTTATTTGTTCTAGAAATGACATTTAAAGTTATATTCTGCAACAACAAAAGGTGATTTCTCTGTGTGTAAATATGCATATACTTTCACTTTGTAACTCCCTCCAGACGTTGGTCTGGGTAAGAAATGCAGCTTCTCGGCTCAGAATAACAAGTATTCGGTTAGGGCCATAAAGCGATCATCTGTTCAGCAGCATATTAGTGTGTTCACTGGGTTTGTTTGTTTTTGGTGGAGGAAAAAAATATTCTAATATTTTTCAGATGGCTGAGCAGTTTATGATTAAATCGTGTAATTGCTGATGTTAAGTGGCACCCCATTGCTTTCAAGATGGAGATTACAGCTTTGCAACAAGCAGCACTACCTTTCAGGCAATTAGGAGGACACGCTTCCCTGAAGCAGGGGAAGTGCACACGCAGGCAGCAGTCAGATGACTGGCTAACAGAGAGCTGATGTTGTGTCTCCTGTGTTTTGTAAAGACAGTCTCAGTCACATGGGTGGGACTGTAGTGTCTTTAATGGAGGCCCACTTTTGAAGCTCACACTTGAGGAACAACAATTAACTGTGATGAGTAAGATCTCATTTGGGGAATTAAGCTGCCAAATTCATGCTTCTTTTTCCTTTCTGACCTTTTGAATTCAACAAAACAAGAAGGAAACACTGGACTTAAGTGTCCAAAAAGTGGCATTTTATGATTGGTCGAGTCATTACAGAGCAGCAGAACACACATTTTTATTAGTAGCATCAATCTAAAGGCTAGAAGACATGCAATGACTTGCAGGGGTTTGCATAATTCCCCATGCCTCCTAGAACCTCTGTCTTGTTCGCTTAAGTCAGACCCCTGAGAAAAGCCTGACAACAGCATTCACTCACTTTATTGCCATGGGACTACATGGCATCAGCTGCAGGACACCAATTTATAGCTGTGCTACATTTTGCATAAGACCCTAAATTAATTTTAAAACCACCACTACAAATTCTCTACTATCGAACAGAACCCAGTCCCTGAGGCTGGCACAGGTCGCAGAAAGGGAAAAGATTTCAAAGAGGAAATTTTTTTAAAAATTCAAAAAAGTAATTTCTTGCACTTCGGTTATATAATGCAAAACTTTTTGGAGATTGAAAATTACGTATGTATCAAATACCCTGCAGGTTTAATGGTGGGCTGTCTAAGCTGATTCTCTATACTTACGGCGTCTCCTGAAAAGAGTCAAAGTAATCTGCTGGAGCTTGGCTAAAAGCAGGAAAGGCCATGGTAGACAGAACTCCTGTCACTGAAATCTCACAGACGAGGCTGGAACAGTTCACAGAAACAGAAAAGGAAACTGGAGTAGATCATTTTAATTTCATCTGTAAGAGGGCACAGGTATGATAGAGGTGATGAACGCCCCATTCTCAGAGCCAGCTGTATTATTAATGCACCCAGCTATACAGAGGACGGTTCAAGCAAGGAGCATGTCATGAATAAAACCCTACACCTCAGCATGGTCACTGACAAACTGTGTCCTCTCCAGTGCACAGAGAGGACACACACCTGGAGGTGAGCCTAACATCGCTGCTCAGCCACTAGAAAAAAACTAAATAAATAACTGATTTACTTACAGTGTGAAAGGCATCAGTCTACTCGCTGTCTACTATGCAGTCATTATCTTGTGACTAAGTGCACCACTGAACAATCCACAGTTTCTTGCCGTGCATTCATTTACTATGACCTCATTTCCTGAGTACATTTCAAGCTTCTCAATATTTCATAAGAGTTGCTAGGAAAATGTGTAATATCTACTATTTGGTACTGTGTGTGAGCGTTCTATATACAGTATGAACACCAATCTCGACAACAGTTTCATCGCAACTCTTTTCAGTGACATATAAAAGGATGTTTGTGATGGTTTCATGTTGATGATTTTTGATTCACAAGTGCAGTATGGTTTTCAAAAAAGTGTTTGTACTTGCACTGAATGTCATAAAAGATAGTATGCGGACAAAGGTGCTGGATCAGAAATAAATGCAGTAGCTATTCAACAGTTATTCCCTCCAAACACTCACAAAGTCCACAGTCAGATACACAAATACACACTCAAAAGATGGATAATGCCGCTCCTCTGCATGTTTTCTCCAGGGCGAGCATCACACAGCCCAGTTCCCACATAACCTACCTGAGGTCTTCCTGTCAGCTCATCGTTCTTTTGACAGAAACTGGCTGTTGCATGTGGCCGTGTGTCATGGAGCACAAGCCGCCAGCTGAGACAGCACAATACCTGCAGTGCTCCATGGGAAGCATGTCTTGCTGACCGAGCGAACATGCAGTGTCAAGACAACATGGCTGTGTGTGTATGTCCTTTGTTTCCCCACTCAGGAGAAATTCTCACTTCCTCTGTGTTGTGACTGAAGGCTTCTGTCCCTTTGCCTGTCTCCATGATTCATCACGGAAGCTGCCAGGGTGGCCCCTGAATGACCTTTTACTCTGTGCGACCTGAATGATCCACCGCTTCATGCACATATTGACCCTAGTGTGTTCTGTACTCAGGGCAGACACTCTTTGGCTGCCATGTCACATCAGGAATCTGCAGAGAAGAAAGGCAGAGTATCAGTCACAGCATGTTCCATACACAGAGGCTGTGCTGACCAAGTCACCAGTGACAAAACTGGTTTTCCTTTATGCCTGCAGCTATTACAAAACCATCAGTTCTCACTAGATTATTGTTTAGCGACACCAAGTCAGGCTGTCAAACATTTTATGTCACTTTTAACAACAATTTAGATCATTCCAGTTTTATTCTGAGCCACTTTCAACACTGCGGCTTTGAACACAGGTAGTAGGCGGCTATTACAGTAGGTGCCACAATTCCCATCGTGCAGCTGAGCAAACCAATCAGCGTTTGATGGCACACCAAACTAGCACCTGTCCTGTCAACAAAATGTTTGTAGGCAAATGCAACAGAGCTGCACATATTGATGGGTTTTTTTTTCAATTAAAAATCAATTGATTGTTCAGTCTATATACAGTATAAGAAAATAGTAAAACTGCATATCCCAGCTTCCTGCAGTTCAAGGTGACATCTTTAAAATGCCCTTTTTGTCGGATAAACAATCCAATTACAAAGATTTATAGTAGAAAAAGTCCTCGCACTTGCGAAGCCAGCAGCAGTAAAAAAAAAAAAGAAAGAAAATAGTAATAAGAAAGAAAAAGGACATCCCTGCTTGATAAATTTTGTGTTGATGCATTTTGCATTTGTATTCTTTTTACATGCAAATTGCAGCAGTATCTACTGAATATGCAGATGACTGTTCCTGTTTGTTTGTATATATGTACACTGTGTGACCAAAATCAAAATGAAGCACATTTATTGTTAGTGGAACAACCTCTGGACGGGCAGTGCTAGGAGACTGGAGATTAGATTAACTCTCACTAGGATGCTAATGCATTTCCAGACAGGAATAGAGAGTGAGATTTGTGTGCATAAGTGCAAGAGAAGAGATGATAAACAAGAGAGAGGGGATTTAAAAAAGCACAGGACACGATCTCACTCATGAGGAAAGTTGAGCTGAGAACTAGCAGGAAGTATTTTCCCTCAAGAGAGAACCAAGTGTTGTTGCTGTAAAAGCAGATGAACTCGTGGCTTCTGTCGGGAAGGAATGCATGCAGAGGAGACAGACAGAGATAAAGAGGAGCTCAGAGGATCACCCTCTAGTGCACACACACAAGCTCTCTCTCCCTCCCTCTCTCACTCGCCCACTATCGTTTCATCTCTCTCTCTCTCTTTCTCTCTCTCTCTCTCTCTCTCTCTCTCTCTCACTCTCTCAGTCGCTGTGCTCTGACGGATGGGGATACACAGCCGAGGACGACTTACTGGAGAGAAGAGTGTGTTTCTTTTCTTCTCTGGTGTTTTTTCTTTCACTTCCGCCTGGCTTTCCTCATGAGCTTTTAATTCCAGCCCAGGTCCCAAAGATGAGGAGAATCTATTTGTGAGGAAGACACAACGAAAGGAAAGAAAAAGGAGCAACAGGGTGGTAAAATCTACGAGCGGGAGTGAACACGAAGAGCTTTTTCTTCAGGCTCAAACAAGGTTAGTGAGAAAAGCTGCTTATCATTAAAACAAACACAGTCTGGTGCTATAGTTTCAACCTCTGTTGTTTCCTGTGTTATCTTTACATTTCCTATTCAAAGCATTTCATATTGAAGTGCTTTCCCTCCTCTACTGTATAATAAAGCTTAATTTAAACATCCTCACAAAGCAGTTTTCTAAACACAGCAGTTTCTCAAGTCCCTTAGTTACATATGAAACATGTTTCTTTTCCATACATAGATACACTTTTTTCATACAGCAGATCTCCAGGTTGGTTGCTAAGTTTCACTCTCCATAGGTGTTATTTCCCAAAGGTATACAGTACAATTCTCAGGTGGACTCTCCTTTACCAAGGTAGTGTAGCAGAGAGTGAGCTGCAGGAAAAGGCGAGGACAACTCACTCTCATCCTTGCTCCTCCGCCATCACTTTGCACAGGAGGTAATTAAGCGGGATTGGCAGCCGACACCGCTGGTAACTTGGAAACAGGCGTGTGGGAGACGCATGGTGGCACACGATAGAATTTAGGGGAGAGAGGAGCAGAGGAGGAAGGAGATTCGCTTTGTTCATTCATACAAAAGCCTACTCCTCTGTGAAAAATCCCACCCTCACCTGTGTTTCTGTGTGAAAACTGGCCCAGGGGCAGCATTTATGATTTTGCATGAGAGTGAACAGTGTGTGCTGCAAACGCATGTGCACAGAAAGTGTGTTTGTGTGTTCATGCGTGCACATGGATGGTACGGAGTCTCTCTGGTGTGCATCGGTGGTAGTGAGGTGAACCCTCACATTTAATTACCGCAAGCAGAAGAAATGATCCATACTTAAAACTAGCTAGACGACACGAGAATAGGTTAAATTAATAAAACATCAAATTTGTGAGTCCTCGATGAGCCGTTGTGCAATTCCTGTAATGAATGGATGAGCGCTTGTGTAATTTACACAATAAACAAGCTCCCCATAGACTCTGCCTTTGTTCAGGCTGTATTTATTTATAGCATATGATCGGAAAATTCTCCTTGGAACCAATAAAGCCCCGTTCTGCTCACTGTTTGTCACAAAGCCTTCTCACAGCCATTTTTAAGCGTGGTTAAGATAAGTGTGCCTGGAGATGCTGAGGCTGGCCTTTGGCTCCTGGTAACTAAGGCCTCTAATGCAGGCTTAAGCAAACTGATGAAAAGTGTTTTCTTTTTAAGATTCACTGATGGGTGGGGATGTATTAAAGAAGATGACAGATACCAGAGAGTGTTGTGTTCTGGGTGTTGACGAAGGTGGGCAGATGGTGGGGCAATTATTTTGGATTACGTATGCTTTGACACAGAAGAAGAGATATTGCCTAAGCTTAAGCCTTGCTGACCATTCATTTCAGAGACAGTGAAGTGTT